AGTTCATGTTCACAAGTTGACACCTTTCAGAGCAGTTACCGCCCAAGTTTTCTACCCAATTTTTCCAACAGAACTGGCTTTGTCTAGTGTTGATATAAATGCAGGGTAGATACTTGGAATCACTGTGGAGCAGGTGCTGATCCAGGGTTTCTGGACGTAATGAATCATTTGCTATCTCACAACCTTCAAATTTCAGTCTTGAGACACAGAATAATTTGAGTTAAGATAGCAGATGAGTTCCTTTGAGTTCTCCAATTAGAGAAATATACTGGGATTGAGAGGTGCAGTGGCATTTCAAGCAGAGCTTGGCTCCATCTGGATCACCTTTAGAGATAGATAAACCATGTCATTTTCTTCTGCAGTGAGTCAGGCCACATCAGAACATACCTGAATGACATTCTCAGCTATTCTCCAATTTACAAGGTGAACTGCCACTCATGTTTTAGCACTACTATCACTGCCTTCACTATCTTCAGCCCTACACTGTTTTTTTGGTTTTTGTTGTTTTGTTTTTTCCTGAAGGACTTTCTATGGGGTTTCTACAGAGAAAAAGACAGCTGAATTAGGGAGAATGCGTTGTCCTAGGAAATAGTGATTTGTGTATTCAGCAAATATTTATTTAAGCAGCCAAACATGATGGCTGAGAGCATAGACTCTAAACCTAAACATCATGGGTTAAAGAGCCAGATTTACTGTGTGACCTTAGGCAAGGTACTTAATCTAAGTACATCAGTTTCATCAACTCTAAAATGGATATAATAGTAGCACCCACATCACAGTTTATAAGAAACATGAATGCATGTAAAGTGCTAGCATACATTAAGAAGTCAAATGTTGAATATCATTATTAGAAGGCATCGTGTCTTTAAGAACCTGAGTTTAGCACTACTAACTTATTGCGGGGGAAAACATTCTTTCTCAGTAAAGTAGAAGATAAAAAATATTCTGTTTTCCAGGTGGCTACATTCTAAAACACTATAGGTTGATACTTAATCTTTATGGAAATATGGCAAGCCCATATTTCTGGGAGAAGCACACTGATGTGTATGATAAGCATGCATGTTGATTTGAGTTACCTGACAAAAGATTTCAAGTAGATGTTTATTTCATATCATTGTGCCCTAATAGTTTAACAGGCAGTCACTAACCACAGTCTTGAACCAAACTCCCTGATCTTCATCTACTGGCAAGCTGTCAATAATGACTGAAATGATGGTGTGAAGATCAAAGTCTACAATTATGAACTCAGGAAGTAAAGATATTACTTCTAGACTAAGCTATTTTAGATTAACTTTCAAATCAATAGTCTTTACAACTCAGTGTGGGTTGATACTCCAAGAAGATTTTGATCATACATTGATTGTCCTGTCTTTGAGACATACCGACAATATGGAAGATGGGGCTGGGAAGAAATCATTATATGGTACTAAAATCCTACTGCTTCTTGTATTTATAACTTAATGTCAAACCAGCCGCACGATTTAGATGAAAGAATATCTGGTTCTTCCTAACAAAGATATTTAGCTTTGTATAATGTTTACTTAACAATTTATAATTAGTGCTTCACTGACTGTTCTNATTTATATCGTAACTTAAAAATAAATACCATAAATATTGAGATAGAGCTGGAAAGCCCATTATATCATATAAACCTTACTTCTTGCTAGTTGCAGATATTTTCATTTTTGTTCAGTTATAATGCATTTAGTGATTTCATATGCATTATTTGTATACAGAGTAGAGTCCTACACATTGTTAAACTTATGAATTTGTTACCTTAGCTCTTTCAATATTACCTTTGTAGTCTTAGGTCCTATAAATAACACATATAAAAATGCTACATTCAAGGCCAAGTATACAAACAAACAACTTTCTACAACCTACATAGGGGACTGTGCTCCTTATAAGGTGATCAGGTTAATAAAATGATCTTTTATTTTGTAGATATAAGATATGTAATTACTTCGGCTCTAAAGATGATTGCAAACAACCTAGTATGCAAAACATATAATAAAGTGATAAGATACAAAGTAAGACAAAAGAAAAACCTGTGGCAGTATTTGTTCGAGTTATGGTGTTATCCTTGTGTTATGATATGGGCTCTTGATGAATCTATTTTGTAAAATGTGTCATTCTGGAAAGATTATTGGTCAGAGAGTACAAAGACCCAGGTTCAAGCCTGACTCTCCCATGATCTCACTGTATGATCTTGACTAAGTCAGTGATCCTCTCTGGCTTTTGTTTTCATAAGCTGTAAAATGAAAAAAAGTGTAGTAGGGACTCTTTGAACGCACCGCTTATCTTATCTCCCACCCAGTTCTCTAAATTGTGAATCAATAATTGCTTATCCAAGAACCAAGTGCTGTGCTTAATCATATTGGTAATTGTTTTAAGAGTACTGACCATATGTTTACAGTCAATTGTGCAAATGCTGTCATTGCTAACACTCAGCCCTAAAGTTCGGTAGAAATTTATGGTTTCAAAAATTAACCCAAACAATGGGATCTTACAATTTGAATACTAACATTTTAATCAACTACTTTGTATTGCTTTTGAGTAAATGGAATTTCTTACCTAGAAACTCACTTTTTCCAAACTCGCTATTTTACACAAACCTAGAACTTACTGTTTGCTTTTTCTGCTTAACCTTTGATTGCTGCTATTTTCTACTGATTGGGGCTGGTCAAAGGTGATAGGACTGGTAAAGACAGAGCCAATCATGTTTCGTGGGGTTTAATCATTAATAACCTGACCTGTCATCAAAATTTCCATGGATCCGGTTCCTTACTATGTCATTGGCACCAAGGTTTTAAAAACAGAAGTCTGTATAAAAAGCAATTGCTCTTTTGTTTCCCAAACAGGTATTAAAAGTGGATAAATAATGTGCACTGCACTGAGCCCAAAGGTACGCAGTGGACCTGGCCTCTCTGATATGCATCAGTACAGCCAATGGCTGGCCAGCAGACATGAAGCTAATTTGCTACCGATGAAAGAAGATCTGGCTTTGTGGTTAACCAATCTATTAGGTAAGACTATAAGATCTCATTCTGTGAGCAAAGATAACAGGTGTTTTTTGTTTGTTTG